TAATAAAATAATCCAATTATTGTTTAAATATAGATTTGAATTCAACATCTTTAATGACAATTTAGCAACTAAAAATAAAAGATTAGATAAAGAATAAAAAAATAAACCATGTGATTGCTAAAATTATGAGCTCCTTTTTTTTTTTTCCTAATATGACTATTGGGATTTGTTTTAAGGCATTATTAGATGTTTTTCTATGATAAAACCTTTGTCACTTCACTACAACTAAATATTTGATACCTCATAAAACTATTTTGATTCTCCTTTCTTTTTAAAACAATTTTCTGCTATTGAAAATCTAGAATTCCTAACTAACTAACTTCCATCTAGATTTAGAGTATCAAAACAATATAATTTGGATTTAGGCCCTCACTGAAGTTTTATTGTTACTCTTTGGTGATGAAAAGATTTATTCTTTAATTTATTTTAGTAATTCTTTTATATTGACTCATTAATTGATATTACGAGACTTGAACATATTGATAAGTATAAGTATTTGAGAGATTGATTGATGAATGAGATGCGATCTAGAATAATTGGATAAAGATGGAAGTTGTAATGATATATAATAGAAGTATTGTTGATAACTTGGTACCAACAAAAATAGACGAAACTCTGCCGAAATGTTCAATTTTTTTTTTTATAATTTTAGACATATTATTCAATACTTGACAATCATAAACATATGTTTAAGATTTCATGACCTATAATTTGAGGATGTTACATTTATATCTTGTTCTTCATTTTACAACACACCTAAGCATGCTTTATTTTGACTTCTAGAATACCATATAAAGTTTGAAAACTAAAACATGGTCTAGGTTGCGGTAAACTTTTGGAAAGATTTGGACTTCTCCATTTCTGCTAAGTTTTAAACTTCAAAATGATAGAAATGGTTTTAGGTCTCTTCATGAAAGTTTTATTCTTATATCATAGCTTTTGAGAAAGTCAAACATAACCTAAAATAATATGATGATTTGACTAGACCATACTAACTAGGATTTGCAAGTTGGCTAGAGAGGCAACAACCAACCTTGGTTACCACTAATAGGCTTACAACTAGTGGTTTGCAATGTGTCCATTCTATCAAGAGCAAGAAAAGGGGGGATGAGAGAAAAATCATGATTATGATTATGTTTCTCTAACCAAGTTTAGGGTTTTTAGATGTAGAACTACAATTCTACCCGTATAGCATATACCTTATTATAATATGGTATTTTGAGCAAAATTACTATTCTACCCTAGTAAAAATAGAATATTGATGTTGTGTTAAAATTGAAACATTAAATTAATTATAGATATAATTTTTATAATTTGATTAGTAGTGGGTTAAATTATGTAATTGATGTTTTTTAATTTTTAAAACATCCTGATTGGATTATAATTTAATTACAATGTTTATGTTTTGGGGTAGAAATCTTATTTAATTTATCCTAAAATTGTTTAGGGTGTTAATAAGAATTTTTATATGATTATTTCTCTTATTAAATCTTGAAAAAATGTATTAGATAAAATTTCATAAAGTTTGAAATGTGTTTTTATATATGATGGATGACTATAGACATTAAAAGACCTGTGTGATTATTTTTGTTTTTTTATGGTTGAATGATTATAATATTAAATAGGTAATGTGTGCCTTGTCTTTTTTTTTTTTTCCTATAATGTAAGAGTATTTGTAATCTAGATCCTCTCGAATATAACTTATGGTTTTGACACTGGATAACAAATAAAAGAATTAAAGCCAAGAAAAGAAAGAAGCTTTTCAAGAAGAAGTTAAGAAGAAAGAGAAAAGAAAGAAAAGAAAGGGGATTAGAGATATGCAAAGTCTGCAATATTTTCATTAATCATAAAAAACCCTTAACATTTAGAAAAGTAGGGTATCAATACCAAAACCCTAACTAGAATAAGCGATTGAGTTTATGGCCCACTAAATAAAATACTCAACAATAATTAAATCAAACTCAACAAATACAACCAAATTAATAAAACTCAACTAAAAGTTCATATAAATTAAACCAAAACATAAGTTAAAGCCCAATCTCTCAATTGTTTGGGCTATCCTCCATCGTATATGATCATTCACGTGCATACATAATATTTCAGGTTCGATGTCCCCATCAATTCTCCCGGGGTTGGAAGAACTCGACCTCGTCGAGTATAGGCCAAGGCGACTCCAATAACGCTCTCAAAGATAAATACTAAGCTGTTGTGATGTCTCTCTGATAATCCAAGTATAGTCTGAATCTAGTCGTTAAGCCCATATACTGGAATTTGCTGAAGTTCACCATCCCTGGTAAAAACAACTTGTGCATTCAAAGTAGCATTAACATGTTCCTTTTGTGCCAAAGATATGGATAATAAGATAGGGGTATCAAAAGGAGCATCAGGGATAGGCTGTATTTTATAAATATTGAGATCTTTCATGTTAAAAATAGAGCTAATATCAAAGTTTAATGAGAATTTAATGACATAATTATTTGATTTAATCATTTACAACACTTTGAATGGTCTAACACTATTTACTTGCAATTTATGATCGGTTTCACTGTTCAGGTCTAATCTATATCATGAAATAATTTCCAACATTAAGTGCATCATGATACTTAAGTAAATCAGCTTGAAATTTGTATTATTCATTACTTGCTTGAATTTGTTTCATGATATCAATATGCAAATTATGAACCTTACATGGTAACAACTCAGCTGACTTAGACATCCAATCATGAGGAGATATGGGAAGGTGTTCTATAGGCTTCTCAGATTTGTAAATATGAACACTGAATGATTGATGGTGTGGAATGAGACAAACATTGTTTGAAACTTGTATGGATATGGTATGGACACAATTAAGTAAACTAGAATTATCTTCATCTTCCTCATAACATGTATGTGGTAAGGGGTTAAGAAGCTCAACATGTTGCTCTAAACTTATGATGTGTTGGACACCAAGCATGAAGGATGAGGAATCAGGTAATTTAGGAGGACTAATATCATTAGACTCTTCTAAAACCATACTTATCTCTATAGGCGATTCCACTAAAGAATTCCTTAAAATTTCCTCCACCATTAAAGCAGACATTAACACGACTAAAAGATTGATGTCTTCTACCAACTGTAGGAGTGTCGAAGTAATAAATAATCCGGCAAAACCGGGGTCGAACCACAAGGAGGTTAAATATATAAATTATAGATGAAAATAATACAACAACAATAACAACAATAACAATAACAACAACA